AACAAAAAATTAACAGATATAGTAGAACTAAATAATACCATGGACAAATGGACTTAATAATCATTTCTAGAGTATTCTATCCCAGGGCAGCAAATTTCACATTTTCTTAGCAGTCCATGGATCTTTCTCCAAAAGGGACTACATCCTATGTCACAAAGCAAACCTCAATAAATACAAAAAACCAAAGTACTACTCTGTATCCTAACAAACCACAATGGAATAAAATTCAAAATCAATAGTAAAGAAAATCACAAAGCCAATTAAACTCACAGAGATTGAATAATACAATTTTCAATGATCAATGGGTAATTGAAGAAATTAAAAAAGAAATGAAGAAACTTCATAAATTCAAATGAAAATGTGGACACAATTTACCACAACCCAAGAGACACAGCAGATGTGGTCTTAAGAGGGAAGTTTATAAAGATGAGTGCCCAAAAAACTGCATGATACTGGCACAAAATCAGATATTAAGACCAATGGAATAGAATAGAAGACCCTGACACAAACCCACACAGATATAACCATTTGATTTTTGACAAAGGATCCCAAAATATGCATTGGCAAAAAGGTAGCCTCTTGAACATACAGTGCTGGGAAAATTGGATATTCACCTGCAAAAGACTGAAACTAGATCCCAGACTCTCACTTTGTACTAACATCAATTCAAAGTGGATTAAAGATTTTAATGTAAGATCTGAAACAGTAAAATTACTCCAGAGAAAACATTGTTCCACATAGGCATAGGTTATCACTTTATGACTAGAACTCCAATAATTCAACAATTAAGGAAAGGATTAACAAATGGGAGTGTGTGAAATCAAAAAGCTTCTGCACAGCAAAAGAAACAGTCACCAGACTGCCAGACTGGAGAGCCAGCCTACAGAATGAGAGAAAATCTTTGCCAGCTATACATCTGACAAGGAATTAATAACCAGAATATATAGGGAGCTCAAAACACTAACCCCTCAAAGAATCAAAAACCCACTAAATAAATGGGCAAATGAACTGAACAGACAATTCTCAAAAGAACAAGTACAAATGGCCAATAAATATATGAATGCTCAATATCTTTGGCCAAAAGAAAATGCAAATCAAAACAACATTGTGATTCCATTTCACTGCAGTCAGAATGGCTACCAACAGTAATAAAAACAACAACAAATGCTGGTGAGGATGTGGGGAAAAAGGAACCTTCACACACTGTTGGTTGGAATGTAAATTAGTACAACTTCTGTAGAAAGCAGTATGGAGATTCCTCAAAAAAACTGAAAATGGAGCTACCATATAATCCAGAGATTCCACTCCTGTGCTCTACTCTAAGGAACATGCTGCAGGATAGAATTCAGTCACTTGCATACATTTGTGCATTGCAGTACTATTCACAATAGCCAAGCTTTGATAACAGCCCAGGTTCCCCACAACTGATGAATTGACTAAAAAAGTATGCTATATACACACAATGGAGTATTATTCAACCTTAAAGAAGAATGAAATTATGTTGCTTCAGGTAAATGGACTGAACTAGACAACTTCATATTAAGCGGAGTAATCCAAGCTGAAAAGGTTAAAGGTCATATGTGGAAGCTAGACCTATAAGTCAAATGTACACATAAATATACATATGATTATATATGTATATACACATTATATTATATATATAGAGAGAGAGAGAGAGGAGAACAAGATTGTATTAGTGGATCTGTCTGAAGGGACTTCAGGAGATGGGAGAAGGAAAGAGAATGTTAGAGAATGAATAATATTGAAACATTCCTTCTATATATGATGATATAACAATGCACTTTAAACTGTTGAAAAATAAGGAAGCAGAGTTAGAGAGAAAGAGAAAGTAATGGGGGTGTTAATCTGATTAAAACACAGTATATACAAGTCTAAATGTCAAGGCAAAACCCCTTTGGACTATCAATATACACTTAAGAAATGAAGGACAGGAAGGTAAAACAGGCCTTTTACAGGCATGGGTACCAGTGTGTGTGGTGGGGGGGCATAAGGAAAGAGTGAATGGGGGTGAATATAGTGGGTGTATTTTGTATTCATACATGAAAATAGAACAATGACACTTGTTGAAATTGTTCTCAGAAGGGGGCAGGGAATGGAGAACAATGGAGGGGGTAAATCTAATTATGACATATTGTAAGCACATATGTAAATATCACAATGTGTCCCCCTGTACAACTATTATATGCTGATAAAAAGTTAAAACAAAAACTGCTTTTGCTAAAAAAAAAAAAAAAGAGTGACTCTTCATATGGGACTGCAAATGCTGTCCCTCTATTTTATATCTATCTTCTTTGCTCTGAGCCATTGACCTCTTAGGTTACTTTTGATTCTAAGAAAACAGGATGGATGGACAAAATTCTACTCCCCACCCCCAGTAGCAATGTCTTTCTCATCCTGACAAGCCCCTGCCTGATCAATCTTAAAATAATGATCACCTTGACTGTACCTTTGTTTCTATCTCCTTCCTCCTACTCCTAATCCTGCTACTTGTCTTATTTGGCCCTCTGATTTTTATAACCCTTTTAAAATTTCTTGCCTCCAGTCTACAGAGCACTTTTTCACCCTTGGATATGATGACTGATTCATTTCATGAAAACTATTGGCCTGCTGGTCCAGCAATGGAAAGGCAATACTCTCAGCAGCCATCTCTACAAGAGCCCAATAAATTGCCACATTTTTTGACAAGGAGTAAGACTCTGAGTATGCACATTGATGGATCTCACATTCATACCCCTGAAAGAATTCAGGGTCCTGAGCTCTTGAGGGGGAATGTTAGCATGGGCAGATGGATAAGACATGAGCAGGAATAGGAAAATTCCCTGGGCTAAAGACTTCATCCTAAAAGCCCCAGATGACCCATGCTCTGGACCACTAATTAAGATAGTGTTTCTATGAATTCCCCGTATTAAGGGTAAATTAGGAAGGGCAAAGAGGATCAAATGGGAAGATCAAGGAAAATCAAATAGGAAGGTCAAAGCAGATCAAATGAGCAGATACATTCCTTTGCACACCTGGGTGCACACAGTGGCTGAACCATTTGAGGAGAGCCTAAAGGTGAGAGCACTGATATCATGCCACCTAATAGCCTCACCTTACAGTATAAAACCACTGTCAACATTTTTCACAAGGCAATCTTTACCTGAACTGCCCTCCTCAACTTTTGAGGTATACTTTGCTTTGTTAGCAAATTACTCTTTATAGACTTATCCAAGATCGTGAATTGCTGACAAGCATCACTTTTCTGTGTCTTCATGAACCATAAATAAAACCTCAGGTTTTACAAGAAGAGATGGGCAAGTTAGTAAGTTAAAGAAGGTACTAGGATAAGGACAAATAATAGTTAGAGAAAAATCAGGAAATAGCAAACTCTAAACTGCGAAAAGTGCAAATGTGTCATAGTGTGGATCTGTTCCACCCTTGCACCTTACAGCCTGTTTTATTTATTTTTTACTGTTCTAGTTTGACTTGCCTCTGGAAAGAGCCATGTGCATGGGCCACCCTGTGAACAAAACAATTGCATGGAGAGCTAAGAGAAGTTTGGAAAGCCTTGCATGGGCTACTGGACAGAAGTCTACTGGTGTCTGTGTGAGGCAACATGGAAATAAGCGAGGAAGTCAAGCAGTTTCAGTCCTATGGACCACTGCACAGGCCAGCCCAGTGAACTGATGCAGGAATATCTGACCCCCAAGAAAACTTTTGACTAAGTGGAATGATTAAAGGCTCCCACACTGGACCAGTGGGTGGGGGAAGCTACACAAACTTTATTATAACCAGCGCTACCCTTGAGGACTGCTTCCCAGTCAGGCCCATCATGAGAATGCAAATACATCTGACCCCTGAGAAACCTTTTGGCTAAATGGGCTGATTAAAGCTCCCACACATGGCCCTCTTCTGGTGGGTAAGTGAAGGTGTGTGAACTTTCTTTTAAGCAGTATTACCATTGAGGGACACTGCCCAGCTAAGACCACTGCACAGATGCAAATACATCTGACTCCTGAGAAGAATTTTGGCTAAGTGGGCTGATTAAAGGTTCCCACACTTGGGAGTATGAAGAGGCAAAGCTATGAGAGTAACAGCAATTTCGAAACAGATACCTTAAAATCCAGGGAGGCATGGAATGATGTGTTTCAAGCACTGATAGAAAACAACTGCCAATCTAGATTACTCTATAAAGCAAATCTATCATTCATAACAGAAGAAATAAAAACCTTAAATAATAAACAAAACCTAAAGCAATTTATGAGCACTAAAGCAGCACAGCAGAAGATACTCAAAGGAATCTTACTTCACAGAAGAGGAAGATAAATGTAGAGATAAAAATATGGAAAAATATAAATCTCACCAGAGAAGTAGATAAACACATGAAGAATAGGGAAGAATCAAATACTAAAAAAGCAATAAGTTGCAGGAATTACTATAATCCTTTCTATATTAATACCGAATGCTAATCATCTCAATTTTCAAATCAGACAAAAAATCCTGAGTTGGATTAAAAAGCAAGACCTCACCATTTGTTGCCTACAAGAAATGCATCTCACTGAGAAAAATAAACATTGACTTAGAGTGAAAGGATATAAAAAGATATTCCAAACAAATGGACTACCAAAGCAAGTAAGAGAAGCTATACTCATATCTCATAAAGTGGACTTCAAACTTAAGATAGAAGATAAAGAGAAGGTCACTTCATACTGATGAATGGAACAATCAATTAGGAGGAAATAACAATTATTAAGGTGAATGTACCAAATGTACTCTGCTGACCGTGTGCTTTTGCTTTGTTCCCGTTTTAAAGGAGACATAACAAAGAGTTAATTTTAACTGTGCTTCCTTGTACTAATATAACCTTGACATGCAATACTTGGCATGCTTTTTCTGACCAAACGGTCTCTGTGAAAAAGGAGTTTATAAAAAGCAGAAGTGATCTTCATTAAAGTGGCTGTTGAGCAAGACTCGGTAGTCCCCTCATCTTTTACAGCTCTGGTCACTCAGGTCCAACCGATAAATGGCAACAGTTGGTGCCCTGAAACAGGGACCTGAAGGATAATTTTGAAAGTGATGTGGAGACCCTCACAGAAGGAGGTAAGTGAGACAAGCTGGGGCAAAGTCCCAGCCTTTTCTTTCACTTGTGCATCATTTTTTGTTACAAGGAGGAGCTTGAGCTTCCAAACAGCAGTTAAAGGACTGTTTAGAAGTAATTTGTGAGTATAATCCTTGGTTTCCTGAGGAAGGTACTTTAGATGAAGAAGTTTGGGAGTGAGCATGTAAAAATGTTGAAAAGGCATACAGACAGAGAAAAGACACCTGTTCATTTTTGGATAACATGGGCTCTGGTTAAATCTGTAATTCTTATACTTAGGGGAGAGAGAAGAGAAAAAAATTTAGAAAAAGAGACTGTTGCATCCCTTCATGAGTATAAATTAGATACAGGAGATGTGGAAAAAATAACTAAGGAAAGTAAAATGCGCTTTAGTCATGGCTTTACTGTGCTGGAGGAAACTGAAAGTAAACCACCGCTTGCAGCACCTCCAATTGCGACGGCTCCTCCGAGAGAAACTTCTGATCTTTATCCTCCTCCAGAGGAAGAGGATTGGGATAAATATCCTGAAATGGGAAACATTAAAGAGGAAATGCATTATTTACATATTCGACCCGACAAGGGCTTGGAAAGAAAGAATGACCCTCCATTAGTAGCTTGCATTCCCATCCCCCCACGGCCACATCAGTTGTGACTGCTGTTTCCTGTTATGTTTAATATGAATGGCAGTAACACTTATAATGGACTGGATATGAATCTTATAAAAGACTTTAAGAAGGCTTGTGCAACTTATGGTCCTGCTTCTCCTTTTTTATAGGGAATATTTGGCAGGATGGAGCAATGATGCTGGGTGAATTCCCTATGATTTTCATATTGTGGCAAAAATGACATAATCATCAGCAGAATTTTTGCAATGGAAAATGTGGTTATCTGATGAAGCCCATGAAAGAGTTAGAGCTTTAGGGCAGCAAGGCAATGTTGAGGCTGTTTCATATGAGATGCTGACTGGTATAGGTGCTTGGCTGTCACAAGCCCATCGGTTAAAAATATACCCCCTGCTGCCTTGCCTCATGTGCGTGATGTTGCTTTGGCTGCACAGGACAAAATTAATATGGGGGCAGAATATCAAGGCAGCTATACAAAAATACAACAGGGACCAACAGAACCTTATTCTGATTTTATAGGAAGACTGGAGGAGTCCATAGAAAAACAGGTGAGAGGAGATCAAACACAAAAAAATTTTACTGCATCAATTGGCTTTTGATAATGCTAATGAGGACTGCCAAAGTCATATTCGATCATTAAGGAGACTGGTGATATTATGGACTATTTGAAGACCTGTCATAATGTAGGTACTTTCAAACATAAAGCCAGAGTTGCTGCTTTAGAAACCATGGCAATACAAAAACAAAAAGCAGCCAAATGTTTTAATTGTGGTAAACCAGGACATATGAAAAAACAATGCAAATTACCTGCACAAAATAATACTTATAACAAACCTGGTAACCCTTCCCTTCCTGGGATATGTCCAAGATGTAAAAAGGGATGGCATTGGGTCAAAGAATATCGCTCAAAAATGGATAGAGAAGGCAATCTGTTACCAATAAAAAATGTTCAGATGGGAAATGAGCAACAGGGCCACCCTCAGGCCCCAAAAAGTATGAGGGCTACTTTCTTCCCTGTCCAGACAGATCTCGATTAACTATTTCATCTCTGAAGCCTGCTACTGCTGGGAGTGCCACCCTTGATATTCCCTGTCCAAATGATATTAACATTTATCCCAACAAGTGCCCATTTAAACTGTCAACTAATATATATGGCCCTATTCCTGAAGGGACAGTTGGATTGTTGTTTGGCCGAAGTAGTTTATCTATGAAAGGGGTGATTCTACATACTGGAGTAATTGACTCTGACTATAAAGAGGAATTGAAGCTTATGGTCTCTGTCTCTACTCCTTGGTCTTTTAAAAAGGGAGAACACTGCTCAATTGCTGTTGTTGCCTTACATTGGTATTTCTAAATCTTCTAATGTGAGGACGGGGGATGTGGCAGTATAATAAACAGATTAATTATTCAACATTAATACAAGAACAAAATTGACCTTTGTGTACTTTAAAAATTAATGGAAAAACCTTTACTGGGTTGTTAGATTCTGGAGCTGATATTTCTATTATTTCTTCAGACCAATGGCCTCATACTTGGCCCAACAAAGATGTTGATTCTTCTATACAAGGAGTAGGCACTATGACAGCATCACAGTTACAACAAAGTGCACAAAAACTTAAATGTGAAGGTCCTGAAGATTTACAGGCCATTCTTCAACCATATATCACCCAAATTCCTATGAATTTATGGAGCTAACAATGGAATGCTGAAATTTAAGTTCCCACTATGTATTCTGAACAATCCTTACAAATGATGAAAAGAATGAGATATGTTCCTGGGAAAGGTTTAGGGAAAAATTTACAAGAACAATCTGATATCATTACACCAAATATTAAATACAATTGAGAAAGACTGGGTTTTTCTTAGGGGCCATTGAGTTTATAAAGTCTGACCCTATTCCCATTCAATGGAAAACAGATTCTCCTATTTGAACTCCTCAGCGGCCCTGAATAATGAAAAATTACAGGCTTTAAAACAATTAGTTCAAGAGCAATTAGAGCACAAACATATAGAACCTTCCTTTTCTCCTTGGAATTCCCCAGTGTTTGTTATTAAGAAAAAATCAGGAAAATGGAGACTTCTTATAGATTTAAGAAATGTAAATGCATCTGTGGTAACTATAGGAGCTTTACAACCTGGAGTGCCTACTCCTGCATGTATTCCTAAAGAATGGCCTTTGATTGTTTTAGATTTACAAGAGTGCTTTAATACTATATCAATACATCTCAAAAATAGGGAAAGGTTTGCATTTTCCATTTCTAGCTTAAATCAGCAAGAACCTTTACAAAGATATCAATGGACAGTGCTGCCACAGGGTATGCTAATTCCTCCACTATGTGTCAGTATTTTGTAGGAAAAATATTACAACCTATTAGAGTAACATTTCCTGATGCATATATCATCCACTATATGGATGACATTTTAATTTCTCATGCATGTTCTAAACAATTGCATAAAATTTTTGAAACCACACCAAAAACTTTACAAGTAGGAGGATTGGTAACATCTCCTGAAAAATTACAAACTACTACTCATTTTCAATATTTAGGTCATGCAGTTGAGCAACTCCTCAAAAATCTGCCACACAGAGACCCATTAAAAACCCTAAATGATCTTCAAAAGTTACTAGGAGACACTAATTGGCTTAATCCTTCTTTAGGTATACCAAATTATCATTTTTGTTTGTTTGTTTGTTTTTTCCTTTTTCTTTTATTATTCATATGTGCATACAAGGCTTGGTTCATTTCTCCCCCCTGCCCCCACCCCCTCCCTTACCACCCACTCCGCCCCCTCCCTCTCCCCCTCTCAATACCCAGCAGAAACTATTTTGCCCTTATTTCTAATTCTGTTGTAGAGAGAGTATAAGCAATAATAGGAAGGAACAAGGGTTTTTGCTGGTTGAGATAAGGATAGCTATACAGGGAGTTGACTCACATTGATTTCCTGTGTGGGTGTTACCTTCTAGGTTAATTCTTTTTGATCTCACCTTTTCTCTAGTACCTGTTCCCCTTTTCCTATTGGCCTCAGTTGCTTTTAAGGTTTCTGCTTTAGTTTCTCTGCATTAAGGGCAACAAATGCTAGCTAGTTTTTTAGGTGTCTTACCTATCCTCAACTCTTCCTTGTGTGCTCTCACTTTTATCATGTGCTCAAAGTCCAATCCCATTGTTGTGTTTGCCATTGATCTAATGTCCACATATGAGGGAGAACATACAATTTTTGGTCTTTTGGGCCAGGCTAACCTCACTCAGAATGATGTTCTCCAATTCCATCCATTTACCAGCAAATGATAACATTTCGTTCTTCTTCATGGCTGCATAAAATTCCATTGTGTATAGATACCACATTTTCTTAATCCATTCATCAGTGGTGGGGCATCTTGGCTGTTTCCATAACTTGGCTATTGTGAATAGTGCTGCAATAAACATGGGTGTGCAGGTGCCTCTGGAGTAACCTGTGTCACAGTCTTTTGGGTATATCCCCAAGAGTGGTATTGCTGGATCAAATGGTAGATCAATGTCTAGCTTTTTAAGTAGCCTCCAAATTTTTTTCCAGAGTGGTTGTACTAGTCTACATTCCCACCAACAGTGTAAGAGGTTTCCTTTTTCCCCACATCCTTGCCAACACCTGTTGTTGGTGGTGTTGCTGATGATGGCTATTCTAACAGGGGTGAGGTGGAATCTTAGTGTGGTTTTAATTTGCATTTCCTTTATTGCTAGAGATGGTGAGCATTTTTTCATGTGTTTTCTGGCCATTTGAATTTCTTCTTTTGAGAAAGTTCTGTTTAGTTCACTTGCCCTAGGTATACCAAATTATAAACTTACTAATTTGTTTTCTATCTTAGAAGGTGATACTGCTCTGGACAGCCCTCAGACTTTAACACCTGCTGCTGAAAACAAATTACAATTTTTTGAGTCATGGTTATGGACTGCATTTCTAACAAGATTCGATCCTTTAAAACCTAGTTCCCTGTTAATATTTCCTTCTCCACATTCTTCTACAGGAATTTTAGACCAAGAGAACTCTCCTTTAGAGTGGTTATATTTAAAACAAAAAGAAACTAAAGTGTTAACTTCATATATTGATCTAATATCCTCTTTAATTATACAGGGAAGAACAAGATGCTTAAAGATCCTGGGATTTGATCCACAACTCACTATTTTACCTCTTACTAACAAACAGTTTGAAAATCTGTTACCCCTTAATGATAATTTAAGTAATAGTATAAGCAATTATTATGGATATATAGGTAATCATTACTCAGCAAGCAAGTTGTGGGATTTTTAAAAATGAACTCCAGTTATTGTTAACACTATAGTAAAATTAAATCCTATATCTCATGCTTCAGTCTATTATATAGATGGATCATCATCTGGTAAAGGAGGTATGCATGGACCTGATTTACATGAAACTTCAAACTAATTATTCTTCTGCACAACAGGTAGAATTAGCAGTTCTGATTTAGAATTAGCAGTATCTGCAAAAAAATTACAGATAAACCATTAAATATTGGATCAGATTCATCTCATGTAGTAGGACTGTTTCCTGCTATTGAAACTGCTCTTATTTCTACTACTCATAAAGTTATGAAAACATTATTACCCACATTACAACAGCTAATGCAAACCCACACTTATCCCTTATATGTTATTCATATCAGGGTTTATTCTAATCTGCCCAGCCCTCTAGTGTGAGGAAATTATATTGCAGATAAACTTACATGTGTGGTGTTTTCATCTCCTGAAAAAGAACATCAGCATTTACATACTAATGCCAACACATTACATGTGCATTATAAAATTCCTCTTCATACTGCTCATGATATAATCAAATCTTGTCCTGTATGTGCTCCTTTACATCGTAGATCTCACTTGTCTGTTGCTAATCCTTGAGGTGTATGTATAATGAATTAAGGCAAATGGATGTGACTTACATAACCTTTTCTCCACAGCAACCATACTTACATGTTGTTATTGATACTTATTCTAAATTCATTTGGACTGTTCCTCAATGCAATGAAAATGTTCATGCCATCATTGCCTCTCATTTACAATGCTTTGCAGTTATGGGAGTGCCCTCTAAACTTAAAACAGAAAATGGGCCTGCATATACAGGTCGTCGATTTAAACAATTTTGTAAAGAATGGAACGTTGTTCATGTCACTGGCCTCCCTTACAATCCACAAGGACATGCTATCATTGAAAGGGCACATAGAACTTTAAAAACACAATTGTTAAAAAATAGAAAAGGGGAACTCTCTGAGATACCTTAGCATTAACACTTATCACTTTAAATTTTTTAAATTTACTTCAGGGTGATATTTTGACTGCAGCAGATAAACATTTTGGTGAACCTCCCTCTTTGCCAGACATACAAGTCCCAATTTGGTATAAATCTTTTAACTCTTGGTTGCCTGGGATCTTACTTAAAAAGGGCAAAGGTTATGCTTGTGTTTCTACAGATGTCCATGGATTCCCCAAAACATTATGAGTTCCTCTTCAGAGCATCAGGCCAAGGAAAACCAATGAACATGTCCAACAAATTGATGACTGCCCCTCAAAGGGAGACTCCTAAAGATGAACAAATGGAACCAGCTACATACAAGATACATGCTCTTACTTTTAAGAAGAAATGTTCTAATCCATATTATGTGAAAAGTTCTGTCCCTACTTGGGGACAAACTAAAGCATTATCAGTAAAAGGTGAAAACGTCTTGTGATCCACTCAAAGTCCCATCACTCCAGAGAATCTTTTCTTGGCCATGGCTGCTATCCTTACCTGTGCATCTTTGGTAAGTGGACAAGTGTATTGGGCCTTTATACCCCATCCTCCTCTGTTGAGATTAGTGGAATGGTCTGAAAGGGGACCTATTGTTTTTACTAATGATTCTGCCCACCTTCCTCCTCCTTGGAAAAGTACTGGACCAAATCACCCTTCGGAGGGAGGGACTGCTTTGAATATATCCTTAGGATATGAAATTCTGCCTTTGTGCATTGGTCATCCAACTCCTTGTCTTCCTGTAAGCATTCAAACATAGTTTAACATACTGCCTCCTACACAGGAAAGCCATACTGGAATTGGACTATTTGAGACATTGTCCTTAAATTTTACAGAAATTAATAATACTAACATGGGAAAACCCAATCTCCCAATGTGTGAGACTATCTCTTATAAACACTGAAAATATTCTCCTCCTCACTAGAGCAACTGCCTTGCCAGTGCTGGAAAGTTACTTGTATCCCTCATAATTTCTCTTTTATTGATTGGGGCCCTCATGGATGCTTTGTACACAATTGTCCTGAAGATTGGAATAGGACAGCCTGTGATTATATTAACAAAATTGTTTGGCAAAATAGTCCATTACATAGAGAACATCATATGAAAGGACTAATGGCATGGCATGATGGGGGAATGTCATCCCCAAGGCCCTGATTGCTAATAGAAAATATTACTTATCCAGAGCAACCTGAGATCTGGAAATTGGTTGCTGCCTCTGCACCAATGACCTATTGGAAAGGAAACTTTTCTGGAAGCAAATATTCCTGGTCTGACTATGTCTTTGATTATAATGCATCCTTTTATGCATAAGCATGTGTCAGTTTGCCATATGTCTTAGCTCTTGGAACTTTTAGTTTTAATTTTATTCTAAAAATGTTGATTGCTTTGATTGTAAATTATACAACTGTGTTAACAATTCTTTGTTTATTAATTGGTCCTCTCAAGCATTGTTTATATTAAGGGGCAGAAGTGATGTCTGGTTACCTGTAAAGTTAACAAGAAAATGGCAACACTCTCCATTAGAAGGTTTAATGTCTAAAGTAGTGTCTGAATTATTGACACCATCAAAAAGATTTATCAAATGGGTTATTCTTGCTATAGTTGGTCTGATTGCCATTGCTGCTCTGGCTGCTGTGGCAGGAGTAGTGTTACAGACTTCTGTTCAAACACATGAGTTTGTTGCACAATGGCAAAATCAATCACATATGTTATGGACTACCCAATCTAAAATCAATGAAGAGACAGAAAGCAAAATAGGAGACCTACAACAAGCTGTAACATGGCTAGGTAATCAGATAGTTAGCATACAACACCAACTAATGTTTTCTTGTGATTGGAATGTTACTGTGTATTGTGTTACTCCAGCAAAATATAATGCTTCCCGATATAATTGGGAACAAATAAAATACCATTTACAAAATCTTAGAGGTAATATCACCCTAAATGTGAAAGAATTAAAAAGGGACATTTTTAACACATTCAGAAGTAAATTGCCTGGCATTTCTTATGAAGGCTTGGCAAAAGGCATTGCAGATGCTTTACAAGGTATGGATCCTAGGTCTTGGCTTCAAAGCATTATGCATAGTCTATTAGGAGATGGCATTACTTTTATTGTTTGTCTTGTCATTTTTTGTATAGGATACTCCTGTCTCCAACAACAATTAAATTCTTACAAAACTTCTGACGCCATGGTCATGCTGGGATTGCTACATTTAAAAAATAAAAAAGGGGGAATTGTCGGAGCCAGCAGTGGGACCTTGCCTGTGTGAGTTGGTATCTGAGAAAGCTCCAAGGAAGTGAGACAAAAGTCTCAGGACCAGAACTTGTGTGTGTGATTTGGTACCTGGTCTTATGAGAAAACTCCAAAGAACTGAGGCAAAAGTCTCAGAACCAGATGTCCAGAAAAACAACAGTGCTCAAGTTTCCCCAGATGGCTTCATGTCCTTCAGATGTAAATAAGAAGGTTATGCTGACCGTGTGCTTCTCCTGCTTCTTTGTTCCAGTTTTAAAAGAGATATAACAAAGTTAATTTTAACTGTGCTTCCTTGTACTAATGTAACCTTGACATGTAATACTTGGCATGCTTTTTCTGACCAAATGCTCTCTGTGAAAAATGAGTTTATAAAAAGCAGAAGTGATCTTCAATAAAGTGCCTATTGAGCAAGACTCGGTAGTCCCCTCATTTTTTACAACTCTGGCCACCCAGTCCAGCTGATAAACGGCAACACTACCCAACTTTATTAAAAAGTACACTGTATTTAAAAGTGCAGCTACACCCCAACACAATAGTTGGAGACTTCAATATCCCCACTTTCACCAATAGATATGTCATCTAGACAAAAAAAAGTCAATGAAGAAACCTCAAATGAAATGACACTATAGACCAAATGAACTGAACACATATCTTCAGGTTATCTTATTTAGCAGCTGCATGATATACATTCTTTTCAGCAGTCTATGGAACTTTCTCAAAAACACATCATGTCTCAGGACACCAAGCAAGGAAAGTTTGAATAACTACCTGTATCCCTTTAGAACATAATGTAACAAAATGAGAACTTGACAGCAAAGGAAAACTATACATCTTCAGATAAATGGAGATTGAATATCATATTGCTGAATGACCAGTGGGTCAATAAGGAATAAGTGGAAGAGAATTCAAGATGGTGGATTACTGACAGCTCCGAACTCTAGAGCTTTTACAAACCTGAACAGGCATGAAAAATGAGGGCCCTGGAACACATGTCCCAAGTCCCAGAGTCTGTTAGAAGTAGACTTCTGCCTGAACCTAAAACAAGTGAAGCAACAGAATACATGGAGAAATGTTTGCAGGTCTGCACTTCCCGCAAAACCCGAGCTGAGTACCAGAAACTTTCAGCACAAGAAAACATGGAGAAGGTAGGTGCATAAGCAACAAAGGCATCCAGCAGGCAATCTTCTGAGGAAAACTGCTGGGACCTGGTGAATAGAAATAGAACCACACCATGCTGCTGGTCCACAACAAAAGCCCTTTCTGGAGCCAGCTGTGAACTTTCCTGGAGTGCATGTGACACCTCACCTCCTGAGTCATCTATAGAGTATTTCACTCAACAACCAAATAATACACATTCTAATTAGCTGCTCATGGAACTTTCTCCAAAACAGGTCACATTATAGTGTTAGGAAAAATGCCGCTCACAAAGAAAGCTCACAAGAAAAGTCTTGAGAGCAAAATTTAATGGCAGGCTCGAGCAGCCAGGCTGGTTGGGGAAACATGGTGCAGCACAGACTCTGGGCCAGGACTGGCTTTGAAGGGAGAAGTTAAGGAAGTTAGTGCAGGCACAGTAGTCTCTGGTAGGGATGGGGCTGTCTTAGAGCATGGGAATTTCTGTTAAGGGGCGGGGCTGCCATTTTGGCCGATTCACAAAATGGCATTATTATTCTTTCATGTAGGACACAAAACAAGCCTTAACAAATTTAAGAAAACATCCTAATGAAGAAATGGGGACATGAATTAACTGGGGAATTTTCAAAGGAAGAGGTACAAATGGCCAATAAATACACAAAGAAGTGTTCAACTTCCCTGGCTATAAAATAAATGCAAATCAAAACTACCTAAGATTTCTTCTCACCACAGTTTAGAATGGCCATCTTCAAGAGCAAAAACAACCACAAATGCTGATGAGGATGCGGTGAAACAGGAAACTTTATTTAAAGAATATTAGTATAA